TGCCCAACCTTAGGGTTGCTGGGGTTTTTTTTCCTAGCCCTTATCTGAGAAGATCTGTTTCTTTGGTTTTAGAATATTGGACTATTATATATACAGGAGCACAAAAAAGAAAAACAGGAGTCAACTTCAGCTTTTGTCCATGGCTTGTAATAAAGCAAGCCAGGTTATTCCTAGCTGGCTTGCCAATGACCTTGCAAAAAATTAATAATGATCCAGTAAATCACTCAGGGGTAGGCGAAAATATATATATCTATATATATATATCTATATAAATATATACACATATAATTATTATACATTATATAACACATTCAGTTTCTAGAGATATACATTTTATATAACATTATTCTCCATAGCTTGTTGTGAAGCAGAGAGAAGATTAAGAAGCAGAACTAAGGAGGAAGAGGAGGAGGAGGAGGAGGAGGAGGAGGAGGAGGAGGAAGGAAGGAAGGAAATGACTGTGGGATCCTTGGTGCCGTTCTTGGTTTTCTTGCAGACATTTCATGACCCAGCTATGTAATATCATCAGTTCTAGAAGGGAGTGCTTTTAGGATTTATGGAGAGGAGGAGGAGGAGGAGGAGGAGGGGAGGAGGAGGAGGAGGAGGAAAAACAATTATTTGCTAAGTTTGCATTGCATACCTACAATATTTTTTTTTCAAGTGGCTCTATGCAACAGTTTAAAAAATACATAGATACATATATATATATGTAGAATATTTTAGTCTCTGGGACCAGACTGTACAATTATATAACATAATTTAAAAAGCAAGTATTTGACTCTTTTCCTCTTTTACAAATATTTACGGTTCTATACACTTAAGAAATTTGTGTCCAGAATGTCCCCCGTCCATCCACCCTCCTCAATTAGCAATAAGAATTGATTAAGAAAAAAAAAATGGCAAAACACACAACCGATTTCTTGGAAGAAGAAAATCAGCAACAGTTCTAATTCTACCCTTCCAAAGCAGCTCCTTGGGTCAAGAGAGATTGGCTGGCCTGGAACCTGAATATAAAGGCATCTATGAAGCATTGGGGTAGGAAGGGGTTGCTTTTGGGATACTTCTATGTGCGTCCCTAAATTAACTCCCCCTCTTTTTTAAAAAAAAAAAATTCCAGAGTCCTTTAGATGTTTTGGCTCACCACCAGAGGTGGGTTTCAGCAGGTTCTGACCAGTTCTGGAGAACCGGTAGCGGAAATTTTGAGTAGTTTGGAGAACCGGTAATAAAAATTCTGACTGGCCTCGCCCCCATCTATTCTCTGCCTCCCGAGTCCCAGCTGATCGGGAGGAAATGGGGATTTTGCAGTAACCTTCCCCTGGAGTGGGAATGGAGATTATACAGTATCCTTCCTCTGCCACGCCCACTAAGCCATGCCACGCCCAACAAGCCACACCCACAGAACCAGTAGTAAAAAATTTTGAAACCCACTACTGCTCACCATCCTAGCAAACAGGATGAAAAAGGCAACTTAAGTAGCAGGTTAGGTTGTAGAAACAGCAGACGGGAAGTCCCAAGAGAGAGAGAAAGAGAAAAAATATATATAATCCTTGGGGAGCTAAACCTGACTTCTGGTGATGAGAAGGACACTTCCATGCTCTCTTCTTGGCAACACCATGGAAGCAGTTGGTCATGCTTTTTAGACCGGAGTTTTTTTTTCCCCAATTTCCCCTTCTAGCCTACAGTTCTGGACCTTCCTTGGTTCAGTGATAAGTTGGGCAATGTTGGCCCAACACTGGTCTGAGTAAAGGTGGACTACAGAACTGAGTTGAATGATGGTGACCTCTCCATAATCAATCAAAGGTTTTTAAACTATAGTTTAACCTCATTCCAAGGTTGAACTCATATGAAAGTTGGAGGTGATAGATAGATAGATAGATAGATAGATAGATAGATAGACGGACGGACGGAGAGGTGGAGAGATGGAGAGATGGAGAGATAGAGATAGAGATGGATGGAGACAGATGGATGGATGGATGGATGGATGGATGGATGGATGGATGGAGAGATGAGATGGAAAGATGGAGAGATGGAGAGATAGAGAGATAGAGATGGATGGAGATAGATGGATGGATGGATGGATGGAGATGAGATGGAAAGATGGATGGATGGATAGAGATAGAGATAGAGATAGAGATGGATGGAGATAAATGGATGGATGGATGGACGGACGGATGGACGGAGAGATGGAGAGGAAAGATGGAAAGATGGAGAGATGGAGAGATGGAGAGGAGAGATGGAAAGATGGAGAGATGGAGAGATAGAGAGATAGAGATAGAGATAGAGATAGAGATAGAGATAGAGATAGAGATAGAGATAGAGATAGAGATAGAGATAGAGATGGATGGAGATGGATGGATGGATGGACGGAGAGATGGAGAGGAGAGATGGAAAGATGGAGAGATGGAGAGATAGAGATAGAGATAGAGACAGAGATGGATGGAGATAGATAGATAGATAGATGATAGATAGATAGATAAATAGATAGATAGACAGACAGATAGATAAATAGATAGATAGAACTGAGGGCTACCTGCAGAAGATGAGATGCGAGCTTTAGTGCCGGCAACCCTAAACTTCATTTTCAGTTTCTGGGCTGCCCAATTTTCGAAATTTTTGGAGAGCAGGTTGCTCTTAAAGCCACAGAAGTCAGAGGGCCAGAAACGCATCTGCCGTCTGATCAGTTGGCAACGTCACTTGGCTCCCTTAAATTTCAGAAAGAAGGCCTGCTAATTTTAGACGGTTCCTTCCAAAGCTCCCTTCTTTGCAAGCTGTCGCCGAACACGTCGCGTCCTTCAGCTCCTATGCAGCTTGTCGGAGGGCAAATTCAGCCGATGCGATACTGATGGATTGTGATGATGGTGATGATTATTTTTTTTAGTGTCTGGCTTTTACAGTAACAGCTAATGGGGGTGGGGGGGTTACTCAGAAACCAATGGCCGATGCAACATCTTTCACATTTATTGCTGACGTGATCGACTGCTCAGTTTGGCCCATGTCTGCATCCAGATGGACGGACATGTGACTCGGATTAAAGGGTGGGGGTGGGTGGGACGAGGACGGAGAGGTGCTCGGAAATAGCCGGGGTGAAGAAGAAGGCACCGACACAACGAGGGGTGTGTAAGGTCAGGAGGGAAGGTGGAGAGGGGTGGCTTTGGGGCAAAGATTGCACCTGTCCTTACAAAGGGGACGATTAAGCATGGTCTGGTTTAACCAAAGTCTGAGGGGTCCTTCGTGCTCTCTGAGCTTGTTTTATTTCTTGCAGACGTTTTATGACCCAAACTAGGTAACATCATCAGTACTAGAAGGGAGAGGGTTTTGTGGAGAGGAGGAGGAGGAGGAGGAGGAGGAGGAGGAGGAGGAGGAGGAGGAGGAGGAGGAGGAGGAAGTGGAGAAGAATTATGGGGTCCTTGGTCTCTCTGAATTTGACTGTTTTCTTGCAGATGTTTCAATACCCAAATTAGGTAACATCATCAGTGCTAGAAAGGATTGGGTTTGTGGAGAGGAGGAAGAGGAGAAGAGGAGGAGGAGGAGAAGGAGAAGGAGGAGGAGGAGGAGGAGGAGGAGGAGGAGGAGGAGGAGGAGGAGGAGAATTATGTGGCCCTTGGACTCTCTGAATTTTACTGTTTTCTTGCAGATGTTTCAATACCCAAATTAGGTAACATCATCAGTGCTAGAAAGGAATGGGTTTGTGGAGAGGAGGAAGAGGAAGATTAGGAGGAGGAGAAGGAGGAGGAGATGGAGAAGAATTATGGGGTCCTTGGTCTCTCTGAATTTGACTGTTTTCTTGCAGATGTTTCAATACCCAAATTAGGTAACATCATCAGTGCTAGAAAGGATTGGGTTTGTGGAGAGGAGGAAGAGGAGAAGAGGAGGAGGAGGAGAAGGAGAAGGAGGAGGAGGAGGAGGAGGAGGAGGAGAATTATGGGGCCCTTGGTCTCTCTGAATTTGACTGTTTTCTTACAGATGTTTCAATACCCAAACTAGCTAACATCATCAGTATTGGGATGTTACCTAGTTTGGGTCATGAAACTTCTCCAAGAAAGGGCCAAGGACCACACCCCTCCCCCTCCTCTTCACAAACCCAACTTCCTTCTAGCACTGATGCTGTTACCTAGTGTGGGTCACGAAAGGCCAGCAAGAAAACAAGGGAGCTCAGCAAGCGCCAAAGACCCTGTCATGTCAACCCTGAGCTACAAATATCCTCTTTTGTTGACTAACCAAAATCTTTTGCTTGGAGGAAAAAATCAGCCGAGTTCGTTTCGCTTGGGCATCTGCTGTTTTTAAAACCAGCACATCCGTCTTTGAGGAAGGATGATGCGATGGGTGAGGGGCCCATCATCATCAACGGATGATACGATGGGTTCTCGAGGCAGAATTTTCCACCCGCAACCCCCACTGCAGAGCTGCAATCTGTGGGTGTATCTCCAGGATCTCAAAGCACTTGGAGATGGAACTGGCAACTGAAATAGACTCTAAGAACTAAGCAAATCTAGATGTGGTCAGAACTTAGAGGAGAACCTACCAAAACAAGAAGACCAAAGGTTAGAAACTTCCCAGAAGAAAGCCAGACAAAAATCACTTCTATATAATTGCCAAGAAGACTCCTATGGAAGCATCCATGTGTTCACCAGGCGTTGAATGTGATTTGAGGAAGCTTCTACTAGGACTTGTTGAACAAGCCCACCAGAAACATACATGAGGAAAGCAGGTTAGCTTGCAAAAGGAAGCCTAAATTTTCTGACCATCCAAGGTCTTCTTCGTAAGTCTTCCTATAGAAGACATCTTGTGCAGTGGCCCATCTGGGCCTTCCTCATTCCACCCAATGGTAGAACGAACTCTGGAGTTCCACCTCTTGACCCTTTCTCTCACCTGGTTGCTCTTCGAAGCCCTCTTTACCTCGAGCTAAGATTCTGTGCAGTTTGGAGAACCCCCAAATCCCACTCCTGGCTGGCCCCACCCACCCCACCCTCGCCCCTCCCAGGAGTCCCCACGCGGCCCCTTTTGGATGCAGGTAAGTGCAGGGCACGTGCGGAGGCTCGGGGAGGGCTAAAAACAGGCCTACCGCAGGTTCAGGCCCATTTCTGGCCTCCAGAGAGCCTCCGGAGCCTGGGGAGGCCATTTTCACCCTCCCGAGGCTCAAGGAAAGCCTCCGGAGCCTGGGGAGGGCAAACCCCACCCCTGCCGTGGCTGACTAGGCCACGCCCGCCATAGCCACACCCACCCAGCACCCGGGCAGAGAACCCCTTGCTAAAATTTTTGAAGCCCACTCCTGCCTATACTCCCTCTCAGTGTGCATTGTCCTTCCCGCACAAAGCATACAACTCAGAAACGTGTGCCTGTCTGTCTCTGTTTTCGTTGCAAAACCCACGGGGGCCACCACGCTTCGGGACCTGCCCCGCAGGGACGTCCTAACCTTGGAGGGCGACGGCGTTCTGAAGCCCGTTTGCCGTTCAGCGATTATTGCACTTAATTATTTTCTTCAAGACCACTAAATGCGACACCCGACAAACCAACACGAATTCTCAGGCATCCCTATGGCACTTTTGCATTGTTCTGCATAATTATTATTATTATTGTTGTTTTGAGGAGGTAAGCGAGAGGCAGAGAGAAAAGAGAAGACCAAAGAAACGTTGAGGAAGGCCCTGAGTCATATTTCTGATTCTCTCCGGTAGGACCTTTGATCGAGAGGTCCTCCCGTCGTTGGCAGCCTATCAAATTCAGGTGGGTCCCCTAAGCACGGATTGTCCAAACCTCTGCTGCCTTCATCTTCTTCTTCCTCCACCTCCTCCTCTTCTTCCTCCTCGTCGCGGCTCATGAAGGCAAGTTCGTTCTCGTAGCAGAAGGAGTTGGTGCTCGGAAGAAGGAACTTGTTCTCCACCAAGTCCTTGGCACTGCAACAGGGAGTGGAGGGCACCTCGTAAGTCTTGTGGAAGTGCGAGTAGTCCACTTTGTACTGGTTTTTCTCCTCAAAGAGGACAGGTTCGAAGCGGTGACCCCAAAGGATCTCGCTGGACAAGTACGAACTCCGAGCTTGGGTGGTCATGGCCGTAGCTTCCACCATGCCCTCCAGAATCACCACGATCTCGAAATCGTCCGTTTCCAAATCCTGCCGGCCAATCCCGAACAGGGGGCTCTCCTCGTTGATCTCGTGAAGGATGGTCAAGGGAGAGACCAGGAAAATACGATCCAAGCCTTTGTCGAACCCAACGTCTATGTCTATCTGATCCAGAGGGATGTATTCCCCTTCCTCGGTGATCCTGGGCTTGAGGAGCTGAGCTCGGACGTGAGCCTCAACGATGTGACTCTTCCGAAGGTTGCCCACTCTCCACATCAAGCAAAGCTTGCCGTCCCTCATGGCAATCACAGCGTGGTGGCTGAAGAGCAACGTTTCAGCTCTCTTCTTCGGCCTGGCCATTTTCGCCATGATGGCGCCGATCATGAAGGAGTCGATGATGCAGCCTAGAATGGACTGAAGGACCACCATGAAGACAGCTAGGGGACACTCCTCGGTCACGCAACGGAAGCCATAACCGATGGTTGTTTGAGTCTCAATGGAGAAGAGGAACGCCGCCACGAAGCCGTTCACCTGCAGGAGGCAAGGGGTGAAGGTCTCGTCTTTCGTGGGCTGCTCGATGTCCCCGTGGACCAGGGCGATCAGCCAGAAGACGAGGCCAAACAGTAACCAGGAGACCAGGAAAGCGAGGGAGAAGAGCAGCAGCATGTACCTCCAACGGATGTCCACGCAGGTGGTGAACATGTCGGCTATGTACCTCTGAGGTTTGTCATCCATGTTGGTGAATTCGACATTGCATTGGCCGTTCTTTTTTACGAACCGGTTCCTGCATTTCCTCCGCGTGTGGATCTTACCGTTGCCGAAGCCATTCACGCCAGGCATGGTGCTCAAGATCAACCCGTCTTCCTCGGAAGATACTATGCTGTAAGGGTTGACTCTGCCTGCGCTCATCCCTGAGTTTAAGCCTGTTTGTAAGTAACTCTGGATGCCTTCGAAGGTCTCACTTGGCTTCTAGGGAAAAAAGGTTTCGGTGTAAACAGGCAGGTCGATCCGAGCGGAGTCTCTGCAACAAAACAACAAACAGAAAGAGGGACGGTTACAGGTAGTTCTCCACTTACGACGGTTCACTTAATGGCTGTTCAAAGTTACGACCAAAAAAAAAGTGGCTTATGACCATTTTTCGTGCTTACGACAGGGGTGAAATCCAGCAGGTTCTGACAGGTACTGGAGAACCGGTAGCAGAAATTTTGAGCAGTTTAGAGAACCGGCAAATATCACTTCTGGCTGGCCCCAGGAGTGGGGTGGGAATGGAGATCCCGAAGTGGTGCGAACTGGCTGAATCCCACCACTGCCTCCCTCCCTCCCTCTCTCCCTCCCTCCCTGAACTTTTAACTAGATTCCTACCTTCCTTCCTCCCTCCCTGACTTTTAACTAGATTCATCCCTTCCTTCCTTCCTTCCTTCCTTCCTTCCTTCCTTCCTTCCTTCCCTTCCTTCCTTCCTCCCTCCCTCCCTCCAGTGATGGGATTCAAGTAATTTAACAACCGGTTCGCTGCCCTAATGATTTCTTCCAACAACCAGTTTTCCAAACTGCTCAGAAAAGTTAACAACCGTTCTCCTGAAGTCGGGCGAACCGGCTGAATCCCATCACTGCCTCCCTCCTCCCTCTCTCCCTCCCTCCCTGACTTTTAACTAGATTCCTTCCTTCCTTCCTTCCTTCCTTCCTTCCTTCCTTCCTTCCTTCCTTCCTTCCTTCCTTCCTTCCCTCCTTCCTTCTGTCCGTCCGTCCTTCTTCCTTCCTCCCTTCCTCCCTCCCTCCTCTCCCTCCCTCCAGTGATGGGATTCAAGTAATTTAACAACCGGTTCTCTGCCCTAATGATTTCTTCCAACAACCAGTTTTCCAAACTGCTCAGAAAGTGAACAACCGGTTCTCCCGAAGTGGTGCGAACCGCTGAATCCCACCACTGCCTCCCTCCCTCCCTCCCTGACTTTTAACTAGATTCCTTCCTTCCTTCCTTCCTTCCTTCCTTCCTTCCTTCCTTCCTTCCTTCCTTCCTCCCTCCTCCCTCTCTCCCTCCCTCCCTCCCTCCCTCCCTCCAGTGATGGGATTCAAGTATTTAACAACCGGTTCTCTGCCCTAATGATTTCTTCCAACAACCAGTTCGCCAAACTGCTCAGAAAGTGAACAACCGGTTCTCCCGAAGTGGTGCGAACCGGCTGGATCCCACCACTGGTTTCAAGTCGCTTTTCAACCACATAGAAGGAAAGCTTCTACCACCACCATTTAAACTCAAACAAGCTTCTTTAAATTAAATCTCTCCTTGTTTATATTTTAACCCAATCATTTCTGCTTTTGTGGCAACTTTTGAAAAGAGGGGTTTGGGGGGTAAAACGGCGAGAAAAAGCTGGAATTGACCAACGGGGGTTTATCGCGGGTGGGCAACCGAATATTTTGCAAGCCGAGTGCCCTTCCCTAGCCTTTTTTTTTTTTTTCCAAGCAGCTGACCGGAGGCTAAATCTGATTTTGCCGAGTTTACATTTTAATTAACATTAAATTACATCCAGCCAACCCTGATTATCTCCCGTCTATTTAAAAACGTTTGCCTTCTGTCACCTTAAAAATGACAAGCTGGCAGTGGCTTTTGGGAAGAGTGAGGCGGGGGGAGGTTGAATTGTGGGATTCAAACCGTTGGATTCTTTTCTTTTTTACTGGGGAAAAAAAATTGGGGATGGGTGGGGGGGAAGAGGGAGGGGGGGTCTCGAGACGGCTGCCCCCTCCCCACATTAGCGGAGGTCTTCAAAGCAGGAGGCAAATGTAGGCCGCAAGGTTACCCTTAGCACTTAGGCCCTTTTGAGCCCACCCCCTTCCCCCAAAAGGAGAATATTCCTGAGGGAATATATATATTCTTTTTTGCCTAACTGTGTTTGTTTTTTAAATGGAGCAAAACCGTTTCTCTGCTCTTCTTCCAGAGGCCGAAGAAAAGCTGATATTTAGCGCCCTGCAGAGAAGCGAAGAAAAGGGGAAGGTCTCTCCTTATGGAGGGTCTTTTAAGCGGCCGAGCCTGGAGGGCCTCCATTAGTTACCCTTGGTTAAAAAAAAAAAGGAGAAGGAGATAAAAATCTCTTTTGGCTCAAGGGCCGTGTGGTTCCTTTGGCAGAGACATAGAAGTTTGTGGATGGTCCCGTCGTCGTTGTTTTATTCTGCTTTTTAATGCATTTGGGTCAACTCAAGGGGTGAAGGGACTTCGTATTCCTTCTCCCTCCTGTTTTTCCCCCACCCCACAACACCCTTTGAGTGGATTGGGCTGAGAGAGGGATTGACCCCGGGTGAAATCCAGCAGGTTCGGACAGGTTTTGAAGAACTGGTAGCGGAAATTTTGAGCAGTTCGGAGAACTGGTAAATACCGCCACTGGCTGGCCCCGGAGTGGGGTAGGAGTGGGGATTTTGCAGTATCCTTCCCCCTGGAGTGGGGAGGGAATGGGGATTTTGCAATATCCTTCTCCCAGGAATGGGGAGGGAATGGGGATTTTGCAATATCCTTCCCCAGGAGTGGGGTGGGAATGGGGATTTTGCAGTATCCTTCCCCTGGAGTGGGGAGGGAATGGAGATTTTGCAGTATCCTTCCCCCGGAATGGGGAGGGAATGGAGATTTTGCAGTATCCTTCCCCTGCCACACCCACCAAGCCACGCCCACCAAGCCACACAATGCCCACCAAGCCACGCCCACAGAACTGGTAGTAAAAAAAACTTTGGATTTCACCACTGGATTGACCCAAAATCACCCAGCTGGCTTTCATGCCTAGACAAGGACTAGAACTCCCCGTCTCCTGATGATCAGTCCAAAGTCAACCAGTTGGCTTTCATGCCTAAGGTAGGACTAGAACTCCCCGTCGCCTAGTGATTGACACAAAGACACCAGGCTGGTTTTCATGCCTAAGGCAGGACTAGAACTCACAGTCACCTAGTGATTAGTCCAAAGTCAACCAGTTGGCATTCATGCCTAAGGCAGGACTAGAACTCCCCATCTCCTGGTGATTGGTCCAAAGTCAACCAGTTGCCGTTCATGCCTAAGGCAGAACTAGAACTCCCCATCTCCCAATTTCTCAGTCACCACCTTCCTCACTATACCATACTAGGTCTCCATGATTGGCAATTGGCTTCTTCCCGCTGGGTTTCTGGACTTCCCTATCCAGGTTACGTTGCTGGGATTTCCTGATGGTGACCCATCCCTGCCTGAACCGAAAAACTCTTTTTCGAGACCAGCTCTTCCGTTCTTTCCACCCCACACCCTGAATCCACTTTTCTTCCAGCGTAGACAAAGTCACAAGATCTGCCTCACAAACTGTTCTCGGCGGGAAGGCCATCTGCCTGGGACATCTGTCCCCCTTTGATGGTTGGGGTGGATCTACACTCTCGTCGGCATCTTTTGAACAGTTATGAGAGGGCCCAGAAGAAAATAAAAATGGCTTATTCGAAAACACTCGCTTTTATTCTTTCTTTTTTCCCCCCCCATTGGCTTTTTTGAACCAATTGTTCTCCAATTTTCCCTTTAAAGGTAAAGGTTCCCCTCGCGCATATGTGCTAGTCGTTCCCGACTCTAGGGGGCGGTGCTCATCTCCGTTTCAAAGCCGGAGAGCCAGCGCTGTCCGAAGACGTCTCCGTGGTCATGTGGCCCGCATGACTCAATGCCAAAGGTGCACGGAACGCTGTGACCTTCCCACCAAAGGTGGTCCCTATTTTTCTACCTGCTTTCGAACTGCTAGGTTGGCAGAAGCTGGGACAAGTCACGGGAGCTCACCCCGTTACGCGGCACCAGGGATTCGAACCGCTGAACTGCTGACCTTTCAATCGACAAGTTCAGTGTCTTAGCCACTGAGCCACCGTGTCCCACAATTTTCCCTGAAATGCATAAATAGCCAATAAATGGAAGTTTGCAGAGATCCCCCCCCCCCCAAAAATAATGACTATTGAAATAATTCCTAGAAAACCATCGATCGTTGGACGGCCTGAAATTTGATCGGTCCTAATTCCTGAAGTATAATTTGATGGCTTCCTCTTCTAGCAGGGACGTAGGGAAATTGCTCCCTTCCTCCCTCTCCCCACAGAGACTTTGGATCTGGTTTAATCGATCCCCCACAAGAGAGAAATAAATCAAAAAGTCTTTAGCAAGAAGCACCTTCCGCATACAAGATCCCCCAGCAAGGAAAATATACATAAATATTCTATTGAAAAAGAAACAGAAGGAAGACACAAGGCACTCTTCACCCCAACGTGTTCAGGATCTAAAATTGGGGGTGGGTGCTGCAAAAAATACTTAGGGACACCACCAAATACAAGCTGGGCGTATACGACTTTGTAGATGACCCTCACTCTGTCAAGGACCTTGGAGTAGTCATCTCAAACAATCTAAGCGCCAGAGCTCATTGTAACAGCATGACCAAAAAGGCATTAAGAGTTGTTAACCTAATCTTGCAAAGCTTTTTCTCTGGTAATATTGAACTGCAAATTAGGGCATACAAAACCTTTGCTAGACCAATTCTTGAATACAGCTCGTCTGCCTGGAACCCGCACTGCATATCGGACGTTAATACAATTGAGCGAGTCCAGAGGAATTTCACGAGAAGAGTCCTCCACTCCTCTGCTCACAACCGAATCCTTTATGCCACCAGGCTTGAAATTTTGGGCCTGGACAACCTAGAACTACGCCGCCTTCAGTCCGACCTAAGCATAGTACATAAAATTATCTGCTACAACATCCTTCCTGTCAATGACTACTTCAGCTTCAACCACAAAAAAATACACGAGCAAATAATAGATTCAAACTCAAGGTAAACCGCTCCAAACTCGATTGCAGAAAATACGACTTCAGCAACAGAGTGGTCAATGCCTGGAATGCACTACCAGACTCTGTGGTTACATCCCCAAACCCCCAAAACTTTAACCTTAGACTGTCTACTGTTGACCTCACCCCATTTCTTAGAGGTCTGTAAGGGGCGTGCATAAGAGCACCACAGCGTGCCTTCCGTCCCTGTCCTAATGTTTCCTTTTATTCGTATCCTTAAT